CACACACGCACACAACCCCTCCCCTCCTACTTTCAAGGCCACTACGCAGGCTACTGACGAAGGGAAAGGAAAGAAAATATGTGGACTGGGAAATTCGAAATAGACATGGGAAGCAGACTTTCTATGCCAGCTCTATAATACGCCAGTTTTATCAAGTTCTTAGAAGAGAAAAAATTCTGCTGAAATCACCTACCCCTGGATGGTAGAAAGACATGTACTCTTTCAAGTCAAGACCGCCATCTCCATTGACATCAGCATATTTAAACTTTTCTTCGTCTTCTTTCATTTGTTCTTTGTCGTCATCGCCGTCGGTAAAGTGGTGTTTCTTAAACTCTTCCCATGAAATTTTTCCGTCCTTGTCTGAAAATGCACCGTGAGAAAAAAATATAAAAATAACCTTCAACCCTCATTTAATTAATACAGACTGGAAGAGAAATGATAAAAAACCCATGTAAATTGTCCCCGACTCGTGCTTTCTGATTGGTTTAGAACTAAATAACAATTTCTAAAAAACCGGAAGTTAGTGATAGTACGTGCAATGATTCTAACAAAACAGTACGATTACCACAGAAAGTAGGAATACTTCTTTTATTTTGTAAAATAATAGTCATGTTATCAATACCAGAATTCAGTGGGTTTTGTTTCGAATTTGGCGCCAAGTGAGACGGGCGACGCGCGTCTTTTTGGTAACCTCCCACGAATATTCACTCGTCCTTCCGGCGCGGCCACTCATCACACTTTTTTGGTCTCTCTATTCTTAAATGTAAAACGCTTTTTTGCCACTGCACACGTGTTCTTTTCTAGAGTCTCACCTTCATCATGAGTTATCATCGTAGAGTTTAACTCCTTCATTCTGTTTTGTTTGGTAGTTGCACGTAGTCTGGCGCGGATCTCGTCTTCAGTCAAGAATCCATCTTTATTGAGGTCGACTTCGTTTGTAATGATATCTTTAAGCTTCTTTTTAGCATCCTCAGCGGAAAGGCCTTTAAAGTCTTTAAGGTGATCCCCTTTAAACAAAACCAAAATATCGTCAGTAAAAAATCACTAAAATCCCGCGAACAAAAACCTGTTTTTCGATATTTTTTAACCTGTTTGTCGAGTTATTTTGCCACACGCTTTACGGCTTCAGGTGACACCTGTTACCTCGGTTGGTATTGCAAAATATAAAAGGTTTTTCGAACTTACTATCATTAAAAATTTATCAAGTATATGTAATGGCCTGATTAATATAAAAAAGCGAATTTTGAAATCCGCTTTGTCCCCCTCAAAAGGTTGAGATCACTCTAAAGTTTAAAGTTTACTCACGCCATAAAAAGTGCTTCAAATTTAACAAAATTTAACAAAACAAAATTTTACTAAACCATTTATAGCAAGTTTCATTCCTTTTGAGCCGGAATTTGATCCATACATGATATATTAGCTATTTAGATATTTTAGGAACATGTGTGACGTGCCATGTTGCACTACCAGGACTTTGGAACAAGATCTCAAAAACATATTGAAACATTTTTTTAAAAAGCATCAAGACCTTTATTTTTCCCGGTGTATTTCGAAATTTTCGTAAATAATCGACTTGTACTGTCTACAGCGCCAATGAACTGCTGGAAATGGCGCTAGATATATTCTTTTGAAAGTGGGTACAGTGAAATAGAGGAGTAAGGGTGTAAGAGCCACAAAGGCACTGCCTATTCTTGAAGCAGATATTGAATGCTGCATTGAAGAATATCAAACTAGATTTTTTTAATATACATTTCTCGTGGTTTTAATAAAATTATCATTTTAGTCTGTTTAGTAAATACTAAACTGGATATGTTGAAAAATAAATTTATGGCAACAGATTAATTGTCCTGTTCGTGATTTTTCGGTCTTCAGCTTGGCTCAGTGAAAGTTTGATTGGTTTTGATATGCTACTCAAGCGTATTAAATAGATAAAAATGTAACTAAATACTGCGAACAGGCAGATTATTCTACTTAATGAATGAGAAGTTCAGCTTTTAAACTAAAGAATCCCTCGCCGGCTTACCTAAAAAAGCGTCCTCTTCCCCATGTGAATCATGTTCACCACCATCATCACCATCTTCCTCATCATCATCATCATCGTCTTTTGCTTCATCATGATCTCCTTCATCATCATCATGTTTTTCATCGTGTTCATCATCTTCGTGTTCGTCATCTTTCTTCTCATCGTGATGTTCGTCTTCGTGGCTTTCTGGCTCGTCATGATGTTCCTCTTCATCGTGATGTTCTTCATCTTTCTCGTGGTCTTTTGGAGTCACTTTTTCGTGGTCATCATCATGTTCCTCCTCGTCGTGGTCTTCATGCTTTTTTTCGGCTTTCTCCTCCGAAACTACTAGGGAAATTACAATGCCTAAAAGCAAAAGCTTTAACAATATATTTTTAAACATTTTGAAAGCAAACTTAGGATCTCTTCTCTCGTGTTCTCTTCCTTGAATGACCCCCGAGTTCTTGTTTCTTAAATTCAGTTTCTTAACTCTTTTGTTCTCTTATAAACTCAAAACAAATTTTACGGAAATTTCATTTAATTGGTTGGTGCTTGAAGGCAGATAAGAGTTGCATTCGTGCTTTATAAAGACTGGACGAAAAGATAAAACAAGACGGGTCGAATTAAAAGTTTTCTTTTGTTAGTTGTATCTACTCTTTCGAGTTTCCCAAACATTCTGGTGGCGAATAGAAACAACATTTGCAATAAGCTACAAGTTATTTTTCCCGTATTTGGCGCAATTTGATTGGACTCAAATGATATTAAACTTATAAACAAATCATATGAAATTTTTCAACAAAACTCTTTTTTTTATCTGTCCGATTGCAGTGTAGTTTGTTCAAAAATGTTTTGCAGGCTCATCGGCCGAGAAACCGTAATCTTTGGGCAAGTGCAGTTTTCAAGACAAATAAAACTTATTGCTTCTCAAAAACGTGAATACTTCCTTTTTAGACCAACTTCAAACTCTGACATCAAAATTTATTACACGTTGAAAAATCAGTGTCATCCATTATTCGCAGTTTACAATGTTTTGTGAAAATACTATGAACCGAACGAGAAACAAATTCGAGGGCTAAACCAAACAGTGAAACACTAAAAGCGTGAGGCCGTGAGAAATAACTATAGATAGAGTACAAACACTAAATGTGTGCAAAAGTTATCACTATTTAGTAGTAAGTAGCACTAACTTAAACAAAAGAAAACAATATAATTAGTATAAATAACATTTTGTTGCACACTTTTAGTGTTTGTACTCTACTAAATGGCTCTACGTGTACTAAATGTACTCTACGTTATGGCTAAAAGTTGTTAGTTTTCTGTTATTTTTTAAAATTGCTAAATAATGTGAAATAGGTTTATACTAAATTTCAAGATCTTTGTGTTTGCACTATATACTAATAAGCTTTTAACCTGGTAAATTTTCAGTTCTTAGGGGAGTCATGTGAAGTGATCCTACGGACGTACCGTGTCGTGCTATGTGAGATGAGACAATACGAACTTTTTATACATCTTGTGTTTGCACTCTATACTAAAAGGTTTTAAACTTGGCAAATTGTAATTAGGTGAGTCATGTCAAGCCTGATCGGACGCAGGGGAGGATCTAGGATTTTGTTTAGGGAGGGGTGCTGCACACAAAGTTAACCCAGGGAGGGGTGTACCCCATAGAATCAAAGGGAAAAACAGTATTGGTAATCTTCGAAGTAAGGGCACAAAGTGGAACCAGGGAGGAGTGCGCCCCTGGGACGGATGTACCATGCACTACTCTAAATCCAGTTGCAAATCAAACTGCATTTTGGATACTTGAACATTCACAATGAACTCATAAACCATACTATAAACTTTTTCTAGCTACATTATATGCTTTTTGGTTGTAAAAGAAAATTTCAAAGAATGACACAAAATGACACAAGAAAAAAAGATTTCAAAAAATGTCTAATGCCTTATGCCAACCTTATTTAAAAGTCAGCCATGCTTTGGGGTTTTCTATTTGTATCTTGTCGATAACCTCTTGTGATATTCCTCTCTTCAACATCTTGGGGATAATATTGACTTGAATGTGAGCATAGCCATGGCCTCCATACTTGAGCAGGTGATGACGGGCATGTAGATCATGAGATATTGTTATCTTGTCTTCGTACCCTTCAGATACCAAAAACTTTATTTCCTGGATTCGCTGTGAATCACAAGGCATGTCAACAGCTGGGTTCAGGAGATAGTTCACAGGCTCCATGCCAAATAGGTCATACTCCAAGTAGCATCCTGTGCGAGCCAGTTCCAGGAGGTCTTGGTGGTCAAAAATGGTACGGTCAAGATGCGACATGACAGTTTTATTGATGTCTGYGCCAGCTTCTTGGAGGAAGTGTATTATTTCAATGGGGGAATTGTTGTTTCGCCCAGGATGAACAATTAATGGTGCACCAGTCTCAGTTTGTGCAATGGTGGCAGCTTGCAAGGATTTCTTCTCGAATGGTGTCAGGGGCCAAGAACACCCAATTTCACCAATGACACCACACTTGATACCAGTGTTGCCAACTCCGACAGTCAGTTCATTCACTATTGTCTGAGGAGAACATTATTATTCAATGCCTTTTAGAAATAACTTGTCAATTCTGCTCTTAGGAATTCATAAGTGTGACGACTTCCCCTTGCTCATGAAATTATGGGACTAAGGTCTTGGACTAAGTCAACAGATTAAATAAATAATCCCACAATCCTATGCAGGATGAATTTCTCTCCAGTCTTCCCTAAACATTGTAAAATAGATGTTAGGATAGAATGATACACAAATTAACTTACCGATGCCATGTCTTCCACTGACAAAGCCTTCATTTCAGGTGATACAAAGCTATCGACATAGTAACCAGTTCCTGCAATGATATTCAAGCCAGAACCAGAAGCAATTTTCTTCAAGGTTTCCACATTTCTTTGCATACCATAGACTGTGTTATCAACTATAGTAGAACCCCCTTCTTTCTTGAATTCTGCCACCTCTTGAATCATGTCTTCAATTGGTTCTTCATTCAAAGCAAGAGAGTGTTGATGACAAAATGGGTTTTGTCGAATCCAACCAAGATTCCTAAGAGTTATTTCATTACAGTTTATCTTTTCTAGGTCTGTCTCTCTGGGTGGCTTGACCAATCCAGGCCTGAAGTCCAATGAAATGTGCTCGTGTGTTAGAGTACGCCCTAACTTTTCAGGAGCGATCACACAAAGCACAGTCTGAACTCTTCCAGATGCCATCTTGAAACGAAATCTAGTTTTGGCGGTTAAAATACAGAAAGTCATACAAAATCAGTTTTTTTCTTTTAAAACCAAAAAGAAACAGTTTTTGAATATTATGATTTTCTGGTTCACTTTTGGGTACGTACAGTAACCTAGGTACCAGATGCTGTCAGGGGTTTGGGGAAGGACTAGGGACCCAGGGTTATGTTGGGTTATGCAAGTTTTACTACGGATCTCACTGAACTGTGGCGACACGTCAAAAATTTGTCTTGCTACCACACCCTAATTTGTCTACTGACAGGCCTTATTTTGTTAAAGCAGTGCATGTAATACCTTACTGGCAATGTGCTAGTTCTGAGACAGTGACAAAAGTAGGCGTCTCAGTAGATAACTTTGGGCAGGAAAATGTAGGGACTTTGATTTGAGCCTGGAGGAAAGCTATCTGTATTTCCCCAGATATGAGGCAAGGTTTCTTAGAAAATACCCCTATATTCCACCAGCCCCTGGTGCAAAATTGTTATGGAGTTGAAATAACAGATCACAAAAGTAACAAAAGTCTCGTCTTGAATTGTTTTGTGCATGATCACTCGAACAAACTATAAAAAAAGAGCCGCTATTGGCTAATACTCCTTTTTACAGTTCCATTCAGTGACCACGAATAATAGTTCCTAGCCGAGGCTGGAGTTTCCGCGCATAGCAAAACTACAGTTTATCATGCGAGGAAACTCCAGCCTCGGCTAGAAACTATTATTCGTGGTCACTGAATGCACAATAGAACTGTAAAAAGGAGTAGTATTAATGCACCTATCAGCGGCTTCCCCGTGGGGTCGACCCCCGGGCTGACCAGGGAGATGGGTGGGAGAATATAGAAGGATTGAATCCAGTTATTCCCCCTGGGGTTGGGAAAATTTGCGACATTGGTTTTGTGACTAAAAACTGAGGTGGGGGATTGTAATGAAAGTATTTTTATTGCAAAGGTTACCAGAGGGATTGATTTTCCTCTCTAGTTAAAGAAATAGCTCCTGATTTTAAAAATTTTGAGACCACGGACRTTTTTGGTCGAGCTGGGTTACCTGTGTTATTCGACAATACCCAGATGCCTCTCTGCTCGTCAAGATGGCTGACGAGCGTGTGAGAATTCCATTGTGAAATATGTTTTTTGACATTCTTTGTTGTTTCATAGATACGAATTCGAAGGCAACTTGATTTTTTTTTACTTTAAAATGTGAATTCTTCATTTCATGAGAGGTTTTTTTCTAATCTTTTCAATGAAAAACTACCTGAAATATCGAGCAAACCGCAGGGGTTACGTGTCGAGTTCAGTTTTCAAAATACAATAACAATAATTTCAACCAAAATGAGGGAGATTGTAGATTTGAATGCCTCGACCAGGGGAAGTTGAAAAGAACAACTTCCCTACCCCTGGGAAAAATGATCAACATTGTTTATGAATGTTTAAAATCTCCCTGGTCAGCCCGGGGGTCGACCCCACGGAGAAGCCGCTGATAGGTGCATAATGCTCAATGAACTTGAACATCACCACAAATCACTTTGTTTAACTTATCAATATCAAGAAATGTTGTTTTGTTCTTTCATGCTTCTTTATTTTGCAACAAAAATGGTGGATGGTATGATTTGTTGATAGATTAAAAGGATTAAAAATCAAAATGCTCACCTGTGACGCAGACTAACGTTTCTGACCTTCACTGTCCGCCATTTTGTGCACGACTAGTTTCCAGTTTACAAGCGGCGTAGGTTAACACAGCAACCCCAATTCCGGTAAATCAAAGTCAAAATAAAACTCAAAAAAAACGATGTTTATACCTCTGTTTGCTTTTTTAGGCCTTTAGAGTCCAATACTTTATTAAAAACAGCTCTTTACAAAGAACTCTAATGCTTCTAGGGGGTTTGAGGTCTTTGAGAACATTTACCCCAGTCTAGCCCAAGGTCCCCCCATCATGGAAGCCGATGAGAAGTGCATTATTATTGATATAAGCATCTAAGGGCTGGACATTACATATTCATTACACTCCAGGACTGAAGAAATCTGCTTCTAACTCTCCCACAGCTGTCCACCCCCTTCTAACCTACTGTCTTGGGCTACCTGTATTACGCATCACAGGTATCCCATAACCTGCACTCATATTGCATATCCATGAGGTCTGCCTCTTGCCTCCATTTCCGACTGTCCAGTCAGTTAACAAGCTTGATCTGGCACAAGTCTAGGTATATCTTTCAAAATCTGTGTTTTAAGGTGACTTACTAACAATCTAAATGAACTTTACAAGGGGCATGCTCCTTTTCTAAAAAAATATTCAATAGTCCCCCCTGACCCCCCAACCCAGGTTGAACACAGAAAAATACAACTTATCTTCAAAAATAATAGTTTTAATTATGAAACCTTTATAAACAAATACCATTACTTACTAAATTTATTGATATTTTACAACCCTCAGATGATGCCACTAGTAAAAAACCTGTAAAAATTGAATTAGAAAAATTGTTAAGCCCCCTAGCTATCTCCCCACACCAATGCATCTCCCCCCTCTCCAGTTTTTTGGATATATAAGTTAGATATAAAAACAGGATATTTTTCTATTGCTATCATTATTTGATTGCTAATTTTCTTTAGTATTATGTCCTTTGTTACACAAAACTAGCACCGATCATTTAAGAGTTAAAAGACTGCAAAGAAAAATTTCACAGGGTTATTAATTAAAAGTCAGCCATGTTTTGGGGTTTTCTATTTGTATCTTGTCAATAACCTCTTGTGATATTCCTCTCTTCAACATCTTGGGGATAATATTGACTTGAATGTGAGCATAGCCATGGCCTCCATATTTGAGTAGGCGATGACGAGTGTGGATGTCATGAGCCATTGTTATTTTGTCTTCATAACCTTCAGATATTAGAAACTTGATTTCCATGATTCTTTGGGAGTCACTAGGCATGTCAACAGCTGGGTTTGCCTGGTAGTTAATCATCTCAACACCAAAGAGGTCATACTCAAGGTAGCAGCCTGTTGCGGCAAGCTCCAAAAGGATTTTGCGATCAAATACTGTACGATCCAGGTGGGACATGACCAATTTACTGACATCTCCACCAGCTTCTTGAAATATGCGAACTATTTCAATAGGTGCTTCATCATTACGACCAGGATGGATTATCACTGGTGCCCCAGTGTCAGTTTGGGCTGTGGCAGAGGCTTGTAAGGATTTCTTTTCAAAAGGTGTCAGGGGCCAAGAACAACCAACTTCACCGATGACACCACACTTGATTCCTGTGTTGCCAACTCCAACTGTCAGCTCTTTAACCATTGTCTGTAAATGATACAATGGTCATTAGATGCAATAAAATAGGTGTGGGTGTTATATTTAATTACTAAACATTGATATTGTTATCATCATTTTACAGTGAGGAAAGCACTGGACACTTCAATTACACCAAGTGATCCAGATAAGGGATGATTTACAGTATGCATTTTAAAAGTGACGAAAAACTTAATCTCAATGCTCCATTTTATAGGATTTGAAATAGCAGAAAGTTGAGGAAATAATAACCTGAAAAATGCTCAAAGTGTCCACTATGCGAGTGCTCTCACTATAACACTAGGGTACGCTATTGCTTCATTTGATTACCCGATAGATTTCTGATAGCTCATCATATTATGTCCACCTATAGATTCTTAAGAAAAAGTGAAGAACCATTGGCTACCTTGGGTGATGCAGAGGCCTTGCTTGTCCAAGAAGCAGGAGGCCAGATAATCATATATCATTACCGTTTTTATGGGAATATGCAATGGATTGCAAAAGCTGAAATATTTTACATCATGATATGAAACTTTGCCCCCCTACAAATTTCAAAGTGCTCTTTTTTTATTCAAGAGGTAAGGGGCACATGTCACCTATTAGTGCAAGTTCCCAATAAACTATATTTTAAAAAAAACAGTTTACCTACCCCAGAGAGTTCCTCAACAGTTGCAGATTTCACAGCAGCAGACTGAGTGTGATCTAGATAGTAACCAGTGCCAGAGATAATATTCACTCCTGTAGCCATGGAGATCTTCTTTAAGATTTCTACATTTGGTTGGATTCCTTGGGTTGTGTTATCGACCATGGTGGATCCCCCTTCCTTCTTGAATTCTGATACTTCCAGTATCATTTCCTCTATCTCTTCATCCCCAAGAGCAAGATTGAACTTGTGGCTGTATGGATTCTGGCGTACCCAATTTAGGTTTCTAAAAGTGATTTCATTACAGTTTACAGTGTCCATGTCTGATTCTCGGACTGGCTGGAAAAAACAGTTTTTGTAGTCCATCGTTATGTGCTCATGGGTGAGCGTCCGTCCCAGCTTTTGAGGATCAATCAAACCAAGGACGGTTTGTGCTTTTCCAGACGCCATCTTTATTAAGTAATTTTGAATTCTAAAGATCATTGATAGAAAAATAAAAATATTTTATAAAAATAAAAGTCAAAGGCAGCATGAATATCTTGTGCATGCCTGTTCCAAGGAATGCTATGCATTAGCGTAAAGAAATAGCACCACAGACATCTTGTGTCAAGTTTTTCTTGGAAAATGTGGATGAGGAAGTGGTATTTTTACCACATGACATAAAATATTATATTATATATGCATAATATAATAAAATTGAAGTCTACTATTTCCGGTTTCAGCTTCTAGTTATAATTTTTTGGTAACCATTTCCAGCAAAATTTGGTCTGACCGCTGTTTTGACCTAAATTTATCAAGGTGTGGTTTATATATATTAAAAACATAGTGAAATGAATATCTCAAATGATCATAGTTTGTATACTATCTGAATCACAAAAAAGCCTACAATTGTAAATCCCGGATATTAGGTGTTATATAGGACTCTGGCTTTGAAATTGGAAGGGATAGTATCCAAGAACGCACTCATTGCATACTATTTGTTTGATAGTGTTGATCGCGCGCTTTTGTAAATGGCCTCAAAAGTTGTCTAAAAGAACCTATTAAAATTGTTTACCAAAATTGAATAGCCCTTAAAACGAGTTCTGTAAAGGATAACGACCTAAACAGCGGTTTAATACTTACAAAAAACAAAGATTTTGAACACTGAACAACTCTCCAGCACAATGTGTCCACTGTGCACGAAGCTCAAATGTCTGCAGACTTTAACCACAGGGGGCCCATAAACGATTACTTGACTTAGTGACTTGTAATTTTCGTTTAGCATTTTACCAAACATAAATACATAATTCGCCATTCCTCATTGTTTCTGCTTCCATTATTGCATTAGATTTTAATAACAAGGAAAACTAAGTAGCAAAAAATCAGGAAATCCTTTAAAAATTTTGAGTATTTTAGGGTACCTAGTTACGACGGCTAATTTTAACCGCGTTTCAGATTCGAAAAAAAGACTGAAACTAGCTGCGCAAAGTCATCTTTTTTCAAACGGTTTCGCGCATCAAGAATTCCAAGATGGCGTCTTCAATCCAAATTACTGACAATTTAGTCCAAAAATTAAGCAGTTCTTCTATATCCTCGGTCAAAAAGGCTTTAGCAATAGTTGCTAAATTAACTAAGAGATCGAATGAGGCTGATTTGTTTCGAGAAAAAGGTGGTTTGGGTAAATTATTAGGGTTCCTAAAAAGACCGAATAATTCAATAATAGATATGGCGATGAGTGCTATAGCAAACTGCGCAATGTTTAATGAAAACAAAACACAGGTAAGTTTTATCCATTGAAGCTATTTTCGTTGCTTTTTATGAGAATTGACGTTTATAAACACTGATTTGCGATTTTATCTGACTTTACCACAATATATCCCCACCCACCCCTCCCAGTATTTTATATTGAAGGCATTTTAATTTGTTTACTTGAAATTTTTTTGACAGATACGGCGATTAGATGGCATTCAACCCATAGGTAAGGCTTTTTTTGCCTAAACCCCCTAACCTATTTCACTTTTTGTGTCTTGGATCAGAGGGAGGGGATGGCCCGGGGGGGGGGGGGGTACTCCACCAGGATTTGGGTAGGGGTGTTCCGCTGGGATTCTGAAAGGGGTACCCTGTTTATGACAAAAAAACTCAAATTTGTAGACCCTGTTTATGACAAAAGAGATAATTAATTGCACTGAGTTCCTGATTCAATTATCATGTCATCTCGCGTATCGCTTTTTTACAACCATAATAACCAGAAAAACCATACCCTGTTCAGCGGATCATCCCCGTATAGTCCAAATTTTGGAGTACCCCCCCAGGGGGGGATGGTAATGTCTTCTTCACTGTATCATTTTAAAAGATAATGATTTTCTAAAATTTGTGATCTTTCCAGTTTTAGTTTTGAAAAATCTGAAATCAATGAGCATCAGAAACAGAGCAGCAAGAGCACTTGCAAATCTTGCAGAGAATGACCAGAATGCAATTGTCATTGAAGAACTGGGTGCAATAGAAGAACTTGTCAAGCTTCTCAATGAAACCACGGATTCAGATTGCCAACAAACTGTTCTTCGAGGCTTAAAGATTCTAAGCACAACTCAGAGTAGTAAAAAGAAAATATATGAAAATGGAGGTGTGAAAACACTTGTTGAGCTCTTGAAATCTGACAAGCCAATTGTAGCTGGTTGCAGTGTTAAGGCTATTTCAGAGTTAACAAAGAACTGTTCCAAAGAGATTGCTCAGCAAGTACAGGAATTCGAAGGCATTAAGGAAATTATCAAGCTTACTAACTGTGACAAGGCTTCAGTGTCTTCTGCTGCTTTCATGACAACTGTTAATCTTTGTGTCCATGCTCATGTCCGTGTGTCCATAGGTAGTGAAGGAGGCATTGCTGTTCTTTACAAGGAAGCAGCAATGAACTTGTCAAGCCATATGGCTCTAAAAGCATTGGAAGGACTTTGCTATTGTTGTAGAGAGGCTGTAAATCGGAACAGAGTTTATGAATGTGGAGGAATTGAACTTTTGTTAAAGCAGCTTTATTCTTCAGAGCATCCTTCACTTCATCGAAAGATCATTACTGCTTTTAATTGTTTCTATTACCATGAAAAATGTCTACAGTTATTATTAAATAATGGCATCGTGGCAGCTCTTTTGGCATACTTGAAGAAAGTTATTTCATCATGTTATAGTGTTAGTCATTCTGAAGATGATAATGACCCCTATGATCATGAGAGCTTTACTTCAGACTTCTCAAGCCCATCAGAATCACCAAGAAGTACTCATTCTGTCTTAGATAACAGTACTAATATCTCGTGTAAAGAAGCATTTCTTGAAGAAGCAGAGAATCTGGCAATACAAGTACGGGATGCAAAAGAAAGCAGTAGAGTCTTAACATTTAAGAGAAAGCCTCGTAATAGAGTACTTTCCAGTTCAACACCAACTGTGAAAACAATTGATCAATCACCATCGCTTTTCAGTTTTTCTTCACTTCAAAGCAAAACTGAGACCACTTCTATGATGAGCACTTGTACATTGTCCAGTACCAGCATGACGTCTAGGCCAACTGCAATGCACTCTTTTCCTCAGGGTTTGATTTGTTCAACACCAACTACAAAGAGCAGCCCTAGCACAGATGTGTCAATAGATATTTCACCATTAGATTTTGGACCATCGAATGACATCAGCTCAACAAGTGAAAGTTGCTGTAAGTTGGATACTGCTACATCATCATCCACACCTAAAACCACTGAGCATGATAGAACATCCCATGAAGATAGTAAAAAGAGTTTAGATGTTTGTTCTGCAGTGTCCCAAGATGGAAAAGAGGATTCCACTATGGCAGGTAGAAAGCATCATCCATTGGAAGAGCATTCAATTAGAAGTACAGATTCTTCACCTCTGTTGACCCCACCCAATAATGAGAAATCCCACATTGCTCACCACACCTTTCATGGGCCTGGCCATAATGCAATATTACTTTTATCAAGATTCTCCCACATGAGTGATCAGTCAGGCTTGCCACATTTACTAACAAGACAGTGCTTCAGTGTTTTACTGGACTACTTGTGCTTGGTGAATCATCCTAGCCCAAAGTGTACACGCTTGCTTAACAGTCTGACATTAGATCCTCAGTGCTTTGAGAGTCTGGTGGGTATGGGCATAGCATGTGATATTCACAGACAACTGTGTTGTGGGTATATGAAAGGATATGCATGCATAAAAGGACAAGAAGCTCAAGACAGTGAAACCACTACTGATAAAGAAACAGGAACAAATTCAGATATCAACATCAAGTGTGTACACCCACCACAAATACACATCCCTCACAGCTCCATTACCAGATGTAGAAGCATTGGTGATAAATTGATGGAAAACCTATCCTGTCAGTCACAAACTCCCTTCGGCAAGGGAGTCCTCATGCACTTGCTGGCAAAGGGATGTGGTGAAGACTGGCTGGGGTGTGTGCTAATGCTGCCTCTAGTATGTAGGTGAGTCAGAAATGGATATTTTAATTGCATAACCACCATGTCTTGTGACAGCAGATTAACTCCTCCCTCCTATGCACATGCACACACATTACAAACATCTCGGTCTTTTCTTTGGTTAAAAATGTTACTTTTTTCTTCTTTTCTTTCCATTTCTACTGTAGGTCTGAAAACTTGAGAAATAAGCTGATGATCAAGAATTATGGGCTGAAGATGCTATGTGACTTACTGGTCTCTGAAAATGATGACCAAGTGTTTGCCAAAGTTGTCATTTCCTTGAAGTATTTAAGTTCATCAACTGGGCTTACCCTTGATGCTTCAACCAAACTCTCCTCTACAGAAAACTACCTGGAAAATCAAACTCAAATGAGGAAAAGAAAACTCGATAGCAAGAAAGCATCAGATGAAATCAGAACCAAGTGCCCAAAACTGGATCTTACTTCTTCTCCATATGACTCCGATCATGATTTTGTTGGAAATGAAGATGGCAGCCCCTGCAAGTACTACAACAATCACCATGGGCCTTGCAACATCAAATTCCAAGTAGACAGTGGGGAACAAATTCCTGCAGATCCAAGGATACTCAGTGGCATGTCAGAAATGTTTGCTGCAATGTTGTCGTCTAACTACAAAGAAGGTTCCATGTCAGTCATTCCTATACACCAAGTGAGTCTGGATGCACTTACATGCGTGATCCACCATGGCTATGGCTGCACTCTTTCACTTTCATTTGATGGAGAGGACTCATCAGAGAGCTCTGAAGTCTGCAGACATCTTCAAGCAATATTTGACACCTACAACTCGAAAAGCAGATTCCAGTTCATGGTCGAATTGTTAGCCATAGCTGACAGGTTTCTCATGGCAAAGTTGAAGTGCCTCGCTGAAAGACTCTTGATAAGCCTTGCCACTGAATCAAACATTGTCTCACTCATCCTTTCAGCAGCTCACTACCATTCAAAAACCTTGTGTGAATTTGGGTTGAGCTTTCTTCTTTTGAAAGTGTCAGACCTACAACACCAGTTTCATGCATTTAGAGATATTTTCAGATCTCATGACAAATGTAAATTGCTTGACATTTTGTATGAAGTTCTGTCTCATCAGTTTCAATAGCAACAATGATTTGAAGTCAGAACAGAGGCACCACCCTAAGCTCATCATCTTGGTCATTGCACTCAATCTATCTGTGAACAAAGACTAACAACTGTACATCAGTATCAGAAATTAATTTATTACTCATTTTTATTATATAATTACCAAAGAAATATCTATTTTTCTCTATTTCGAAAAATTGATATCTTCACACGTGAAAATAACATGTTATTTTCACGTGTGAAAATAACACCATTGCGATGGCTATTCAAAAATACACGGAAAGAATTGCCTGAAAAAGCCAAAACATAGTTCATTGATAATTATATAATAAACAGAATATTACATGGGCGCGCGGAGATACGAATTTTATCTTCGAGTGTTGAAAAGATCTCTCACGAGTGAGCGATCCTCTATGTATTCATTGCTCTTTTCTTACTACTAGAATTGAACGATTGAATAAAACATGTGAAACTACACTACTCTGATATCTCCTTGATAGTATAGTAGTAATAAGTTATGCGTTCGGTGTGTGTAATGAAATAGAGAGACCAAGAGAAAAATATGAAATGCCCTTGGCGGGCTAGAATACCGAAGACGTGGGTTCGATTCCCGCCAAGGGCATTTGATATTTTTCTCTTGTTCTCTCTCTGTGATAGGTTCATTTTTGAGTGAAGTTTTAGGTCAGGTTGATTGGGAAGGTTAAATGAATGTAAGAAATACTACTTTTCCCGCAATTTAAGAACTCCCAGCCTTCAGTTCGACTGAAAGAAAACTAAGATTAATATTTTAGTAAGATGTTGGGTTAAAATCGGGCTGCAAGCGGGTTTAGAAGAAGTAACTTTATTTCAAAAACACATTTTTTTTCCAAATTGATCCCTGATTCATTTTGATGAAAGCTTCATTGGAAGAATGTCAAGCATTGATCACGACTTTCGTACTATTTGGTGGCTCTAAAAAGAGCCGTTGTTTGTTTATAGTAGTAGACTTCCGCGTCTAACCACCGAATCCGTACAAGGTACGTCCTTGGCGTTTCAGAGCATAGACTACGTCCATGGCTGTGACGGTCTTCCTTTTGGCGTGCTCGGTGTAGGTGACAGCATCACGGATGACATTCTCAAGGAAAACCTTGAGGACACCACGGGTCTCTTCGTAGATCAGACCAGAGATTCTCTTGACTCCACCACGACGAGCAAGACGACGGATGGCGGGCTTGGTGATTCCTTGGATGTTGTCACGGAGAATCTTACGGTGACGCTTGGCACCTCCTTTTCCAAGACCTTTTCCTCCTTTACCACGGCCAGACATTTTAAATTTCCTTTTATTTGCGACTACAAGTTGAAGTTTACAGTTATAAAACCAAAATGATTCCTCGCGCACTGGAATCGAATAGTAATACAACTTTCCTTACCTCTTAGGAAATACGTAATTAAAAACGAATTCCGATTGGCTGAAAATTGACATGTTTTTCTCTTATCAGACAATTTCTGATCCGGTCTTAGTCAATTTCTTTGAACTACCCAACTTCGCACCTCAAAATTACTACCTATCATAATCAAAATTTTAAAAAACACATGTTGACAACGTTCCTACAGATTCGTACTGTAGGCTGAATAAAAATAAGCAAATATTTTATTGTTTTTTTGGGAGATTTTAGCGCATTTCTTACTTCGAGCTTCGAGTTGTTCAAGAACTTGATAAAAATGTGGATCAGAGGTAAAAATAAGACAACCAATGAAAAGCGTTCGTCTGTATTTTAGACCAATCAAATTATAAAATTAACTTGTCCAATCAGAAAACGTTTAGATATGTATAAAATAGCTTCGAGCGACAACTTTGAACTTCATCCTCGAACAAATCTTGGTCTAGAAAATTTGATTAAATGGCTCGTACAAAGCAAACCGCGCGAAAATCTACTGGAGGAAAAGCTCCCCGAAAACAACTCGCCACCAAGGCAGCACGAAAGAGTGCCCCAGCAACAGGTGGTGTCAAGAAGCCTCATCGTTACAGGCCCGGTACTGTCGCTCTTCGTGAGATTCGTCGTTATCAGAAGTCGACTGAGCTTCTAATCCGTAAGCTGCCCTTCCAACGTCTCGTCCGTGAAATTGCTCAGGATTTCAAGACCGACCTTCGTTTCCAGAGCTCAGCTGTAATGGCCCTTCAGGAGGCTAGTGAAGCTTACTTGGTTGGTCTGTTTGAAGACACCAACTTGTGCGCTATTCACGCCAAGAGGGTCACCATCATGCCCAAGGACATCCAGCTTGCCCGCCGAATCCGTGGCGAGAGAGCTTAAGATCCTCTAATACCTTATCAAAAATGGCTCTTTTAAGAGCCGCCACATAAAATAAAAGTCTTGATCTATGCTTTCTATTACCAACACCATCTCCAGCATGCACGCTCCCTGCTTCTAATCCCATGTCGTCCTAACAAAACCCTACTACTAATAACATCTTTTTAATGGTGGTTCCACCAAAATGCCTTATTTCTTTTTTCTTTGTTAATCATCTTAAAAAATACGGTSCAAGTAAGGGCTGGTTCGCACATGTTAACATAATATACACAATACTTTTAACATAAGCGTAAGAAACACAAGTGTGAACCGGGCTTGCACAAAGYATATTACCGCCGGTAAGCACAAGGAATGGAAACTCTTGCCATTTTTTATGCTTGTACTTTCGAAATCCAAAGTGTATAGCGGCTGCGTAAAAGACTAATCTGCGCGAGGCAGGGTAAAAGGAAAGGCATAAGGTTAAAACCTTTTCTTCTTTCACACTTACAAAAGCTGAAGCTGGGCTTCCTGTATGTAATGCATTGTAAGTGTGTGATTTGGGCTTCCTGTGTCATCATATCACAACGAGGCTACTTACCTCGAGGTCTCGACCATCTGCTTGTTGAACGGGAACGAAGGYGTCGCTTAGTGGTCGCCATTTTTTACCAGAAAAGAGTACAAAACAACCCTTTTACCGTGGTATAGTGTCCATAATACAGTAAAACAACCATGAGTGATCAAGGCTGTAAGTATTTATAAAGGATTAGGAGATTTCTCTTTCGAAATGAGGTCAAAAACGATTTGAGAAAATATATAAAAAAAGACGCCATGTTTGTCAGTTTTTCATTCTCCATTGAATTTAGCCAAACCTTCAGTATCATTAACCTCTTTTTAATAGTTTTCATTGGCATTAATACCTAGATGGTAGTTTTAAAAGCTTTGAAAAAGAGAAAACATGGAATATGAATAGTTTTTAAAGCGATAGTGAGCTCGTGGAAACCGATAAATCAGAATACATGAATAGAATGGCACGTTTTCTGGTAGATTGTCATTTGGAAGTATAAAAAAAGCATTTTTATAAATTGTAATCTAGATTATTTAAAGAAGCTATATTATGAATCGTTGGCAACTTTTAGTAACATATTTAAACATTAATTTTTGATTTAAAGAAATTATATGACGAAATTGAATAAAAAAACGTAAGATGAATGTTTAGCAAAACGTCTCAAAAATTGGTGTTTTTTTGTCTTTTTAGATTCCTCAGGGTATGGCCAGAGAGGTGGTGCTTATGGAGGTTCTGCTTCTACAGGGTAAGTTTTAGAGAAGGACATGGTAATGTATAATTGGAGTCTTTGAAATTTCTCTAAAACAATTTAACATTTTGGTTTAAATTTCCAACAGATACTCTTCTCAGAGCTATGGCCAAGGTTATCAGCAAGACACACAAGGTTACCAGTCATCTGGCTATGGAGCCGCAGCACAACAGAATACATATATGCAGGGTAGTACCTCCAATACGTCACAAAGTAGTTATCAAGATGGAGGCAGTAGTTATCAGTCTGGTGGATATTCATCTGCTCCTACTGCCTCATCTGGAAGTGGAGGATACCAACCGCCATCCCAGTCAAGTTACTACCAAACTCCTTCCTCAAATTACCAACAGTCTTCCCAGAGTAGCTATGGCTCACAAGGTGCAGCAGGAGGAGGAGGCACAAGTGGATATGGTAGTAGTGACAGAAGTGGTGGATATAGTTCGGCGTCAAGATACTCTGGTGGAGGTGGTGGTGGTGGCGGTTATGGTGGTGGCGGCAGCAGTGGTGGTGGATATAGAGGAGGGTATGTATTATGTTTCTTATCTCTTGGCTTTGTGGTATTGGGGCCCTTTTTGATACATTAAGCTTCATCAGGGTCTAGTTATTGAAATATAACCAACGAAATAAACTTATAAAAAGATGCAAAGGTTAAAGCAAGGGTTAAAATACAAAGGTTTATTACTCTGAGGTTTATCACAAGCTTATTTATTACGATAAAAAGTTCATTGTAATGAATGGTAAAATAAGAGCGTCTTGGTGAACGAAAAGTAAGCACCTTCACTTAAATACGAACTGCACACCATCTCACTCTTAGCAATATTCAGGACAGTGGTAAATGGAGGGAAAAATTGTGGGTTTTTAAGAAATATTGCTCACGTAACATTAATATTACAAGTCTTGTCAATGTCGATGAATGATCGTCTGAAGCACTGACCTATGGGAAAGTACTAAATTGAATGATTGGTTTCCACTATTTGAAGTGATGTTTTTGTTCTTTGAGATAAAAACCTTAAAATTTAGTAAGCCTCAATAACTAACTACATTCGGATTCCTTGGTTGTAAGGGCAATTTATTCTAAATGGTTATCAATAATAGGTGTGAACAAAAAATTCATATATTATGTATTCTACTAAATGTTTTCACTGGTCTCTTCCTTCCAAATATTTATGGTATATATACCCAGCACCCAGTTATTACACATCAATGTGCTTGCATTATTACACTGCTTGCTATAAGCAAGTATGTTCGCAAGCATGCTATATTGTATTCCTAAATGAGATATTGGTCAACAGTGGCCGTGGTGGTGGCAGACAAGATCGGGGCGGTGGATACTCAAACGGTTCAGGTTATGGTAAGTCTGGTTATTCAAGGGTGGTATGAATGAGTATTCACAGGCTCTGGTCACCTTTCAAGCTGGGGTCATCATTGGTTTTTTGGTTATATTCAGCAGCAAATGCTCATTTATTCCTGTTCAGCAAACAAAATGTTCCTCTGCTTCTAATCAATGGTTATTATTCGTCTGACTCTAAGCTATGAACATATACTCTGATACAAAAATGGTATAACAAAAAGAGGTTTATAACATCTACGTCATATAGAAAATGGTTTATTTGGTTTAAAAAAATGAAACTGGTAAAAAAAAACAAGGTATCAAAGGTTTATCTCATCACAGTTACAAAAAAGGTGTACATATGATTTTTACAAGTGGTAAAAGGTTTTTAACTACCGTGGTTCAAACAAAAAAGGTTTAAATGGTTTGCCGTGATACTGACAGTCTTGAGAGGGTACAGACCTGGAGTTTTATGTATACAATGCTTAAATGTTGTTGTGTGTGTGTAAATGCCTTTTACTGGTACAATTATTAATGGGATTATTACTAATATTTTGAGTTGTCTATTGCTCAGTGTTGGATAAGCAATGTGGTCGGGCACAAATCTCTAGCACAAAGCATGATGGGAAACCAAGTACCTGCACTTTTTCGGTTCCTCTAAAGATCCCTCTGACAATATTTCCTTCAACATCTTCTATGAAACTCTAAGTACATGTATTTCAACAGACGAAAATAACAGCAATTTTTTTCTTATAATTTTATTGGTTTCCTTGTTTTGATTTGTGTAGTATTCAGTTTCCCAGAGTGCTTTTTGCCGGAGATTTGTACTTTTGCACATTGGCTTTTGCAAACATCTGTATGTTGTTGATTATTATTTTATTATTAACAGCTTGTGGTAAGGTAAAAGAGATGCATACCTTAGTAGTACTAGTGCTCTAGAGTTCCAAAGGTTTTGCTCATATTTTTGAACATTCCACACAAATAGACCAGACTAAGCTTACATTGCACAATAGGTAGCTCAAAATTTGAAGGGGGAAAAAAGGTCCTAAAACTTTTGGTTAGTTCTTTTTGCTGCACATTCAACATTGGTTCTCCAGGAGTTGAATAAGTTCTTACTAGTGCTATAATGATAATGGTAGTAGCATTCTTTATCCATTCACTCTGTTTTCATTTCCTGCGCTTTATGTAATGTTTAATAACTAGCAGGAGTGTTTTATCAGGTATAAAACATGAGGCGCAGCCAAGTGGTTTTAGACCTGCTAAAACATCATTGATCTGCAAGTTTATTCAATGGCTTAAAAAACTCGTGTATGTTCTCATATTGTCCTGTATTTTTTCGAAATGAACCAAGTTTGATAGAGAAAATTGAAGTTAAAGTTTATGCAATGAAGATGAATCTATATCAGATATAAAACCTCCTTCATGGTCATGATTTCTATCGGGTTCTGTGCATGAATTATTAGTGAGTTTTATTAATACTATCAAAAACACTTGGGATAACACTTGGTTTGATCATACCCTTCGATTATAACACTGGTTAAAACTTTCAAGACCAAATAAAAGTCAGTTTTTGGTCTGCAGGGCGAGAAAGGACTGAAAGAAATGTGTCTTGGTTAATGATAATGAAGAAGATGTGTCAGAATCCCCATATCTTAGTATAACACACAAAGGGTTGCTTAGATTAATGTGTTGCGTTGTCACTGGTAGCAGGGAGGGTCTGCGAAAAAAGGTTTCCCAAAAAGTACTTTGTTATCAAAAATACGAGGTGGAAGAGAAGCATAGAATGAAACTCCACGACTTCCCATATGAGGAAGACAAGGATTTCTTCTTAAGTTGCAGGAGTAAATTTTAGAATTTTGTACTCGCACGGTTGCACGACTGCTTATCATTAACACACAACATAATTGGATTGTGGGTACTGTAAAATGTAGTTTTTTCTGTTTTTTTTTTTTGTTTTTTTGCTGTTGCTAGTATTTTATCCAATCACAAAGTTAGATTAAACAGTTTTAAACAGTAAAATCTCGCAAAACACAAGGTTTAATTGCTGCAAATCTGCACTCTGATTGGCTGAATTACTTGTGGTCTATTAGTGATAGACCACAAGTAGTAAAACGTTCTGGTTTTGAAAACCAAAACAATGATGGATACATTCATAATAATTTGTTTTATCAATTATTATGAATGTAACAACAACCAACAAGGAACTAGAAGATATAACTAGCTAAAAACTAGTGTGAACTGCGTCAGTGTTTCTAATAAAACAGTAATGATGAAAAGGTAAATTATACACCGTGAAAAAGATGAAAAAAACTTACTGACGTTTCAGACGCTAGTCCTTCGTCGGAGTAAAAGAGAAAGAGGTGGCATTTGCTACCACCTCTTTCTCTTTTACTCCGACGAAGGACTAGCGTCCAAAACGTCAGCAAGTTTTTTCATCTTTTCAAGGTGTATAATTTACCTTTTCATCATTACTGCAACAAGGAACTATTTGATTTAATGATGGATACCTTCAGTTTTCAACCAAATTTCAAAAAAAGGGCATTCATTTGACCAAAATATTAGTAGACTTTGAATTAAACAATTTGGCCTCTCACCCTCATGGTCTGTGAGCAAGTAGCCTATTGATTCATACACCAGTTGTTAAGTAGAAAATATATGGTAAACAAGTACTGAACATGTTTGTTATCAATTTTATAATATTGTGAATCATCTAGAGTAGTATAAAACAAATTTATGCGAAGTATTGTGACTACATGTGACTACTGAATTTAATACTGTTAGTGTGCATTCCCTTGGTATATGTATATGGTTTATCTCTAGCGTACTAGCACATTATGCATTAGCACATAAGATTCAATTGTCGTGTAGTGCTTTTTTAAATGTTATAAAGATGGTGGTGTTTTAGAATGTAGAACCCTGTGTTATGCGGTAATTTGATCTGTGAGGTACCAATAGTCCTCTTCCTCAATCTTTGAATATACCTATTTCAAAACAGGTTGTCGGAGCCAAAGAACATGATCTATCATCTATAGACAATAGATTATTCCAAGACTGAAAGGAATTATATTTGCATACGACTAAACATGAATAATTGGAGCTTTGAATGCGTGTGTGTTATATTTACTACAAACAAGACTAAATATCTCAACACTATCCTCCCATTCCTTGATAAGAATAATATTAAGAAACACAAGTCATTTCACCTACTGTATTCTTGGATCTTGGAATGACCTATTGCATTTGGCTATGACAACCTTCTTTGAAATAATTACATAATACTGCTGTTTTTGATAACCACAGACTCGTTTATATTGGTTAGTGTGATTTATAGTTTAGCAAAAAACTAAAAGTCCACTACATTTAAAAGCATCATCAATRATGCAGTCAAAGTGGCTTTTTTTATTTTCTTTCAATCAAGGCTAAACCTCTATAAATAAGTCTGTATTAAGCATTACAGAAGTATTAACTTAATGAAAAAAAAAGATTTTTGCTGATTTCTGCATAACAGTCAATATTGAGGAATTTTTTGTTTGTTTGTTTAGGTGGATCAGACAGTGGTGGGCCTCAAGGTAAGACTTTTCATATTTCAGTTTGTGTTTCTATGTAATATGGCAGCAGGAGCCACAACGGTAGTTTAGCTATTATTTCCAAGTACACCATAAGGATATTTTTTGTGTGTTTTCGTTTATTTATTTGAGTTTTTTTTATATTCATTGCAGAGAAACAGTACTCTCAGGATACTATCTTTGTGTCTAATGTGAACAAAGATGCCAATGAAGAAGACCTGAAGAATTTATTTGGAGCTATTGGAATCATTAAGGTGTGAATAATTTATTCCACCACATTTGGAAAACACCTATGGGACAAAGGGGTCACAAGCTACCTATGATCCCACACCCCAGGATATGCCCTCCTCTGTATATATATTTATGCATATCATAAATCTTGTTTTCCTAGTATGACAAAAAAAATGATAGACCGAAGATATGGATTTACAAGCATCCAGATGGTGTTTCTAAGGTACTATTATACAAGTTTATTCATGGCCGTGCATTGTAGATTGACTATTTCTTTCCTTCAATTCCTGTCATATACTTGAAATTTTATCGATTTACTCTCAAACAACTTCTGGGCTGATCAAAATCAGGGCAGTTCAAAACGTTTTGAATTAAGCTGAAAATACAGTGATTTGAATGGGGTAATTATATATTCAAATGGTCATATCTCAGTTGATATTTGACCAATTCTTGTCAAAATTGGTATGCAAATGTCTTTTTTTGATTGTCTATAGAAACGAAAAGATTTTGTAATGTCAAATAGTACTCTATTTGTTAGAAATATTTATTTGGACTTACTCAATTTTTATTGTTCTATAATAGGGAGAATGTACCATTACATATGATGATCCACCCACAGCTACAGCAGCTATTGAATGGTTTAATGGTAAGTAATGCATTCTTAGGGTGCAAGTATCTTCAAAGTCGCCATGTTGGTCTACTTAAAATGAAAAAATATGCCCAAGATAAAAGGGTCTGTTACTTCCCAGCAATTACTTGTGTCCTTAATTGGAAGTATAGGTGGTGTAGAGTGAGAAGCAATACGACTCGGGTTTGATCCTCAGACTCATTGTATATGGGTAGAGTTGTTTGTAGGTTCTCTCCTGTGTTTTGAGGGTTTTCTCTCCCTGTTTTCTAATTTTCCTCCTAATTCCATACAAATCAACTTATAAATTCTAATTTGATCTAGAAAGTGTGCATGTGAGCATTATGCATATGAAATATGCACATTACAAAATTATTTAATGTCAAAGTTTCATTAGTTTAGTTAGTGCATAACTGTGTTTTGGGTATGTTTGCATACTTCATTTGTCGGCATGTTGGGATTAAAAAGCATCTGCTTGTCTTTGTCATCCTTTAGGCAAAGAATTCATGGGACAGAACATCAAAGTTGAATTAGCAGAAGCCAGGACTCCTAAATTCTTCCAAAGGGGAGGAGGCAGAGGTGGAGGTAAGAAAACTTAAACATGAATTGGTCCAATAATCCTTTAAACCCAATCTTACATAAACCATTTTTGTGCAGCTGTCCCAATATGCTTCTTCTTGAACCAGTGCCACAAATATCAATAACTTGTTTGTTTGCACTATTCTAAAGGTCGTGGTGGGGGACGAGGAGGAGGTGATCGTGGGTATGGTGGTGGCCGTGGCAGCCGTGGTGGTGGTGGTGATAGAGGAGGAGGAGATGGTAGATCTGGTGACTGGGATTGTCCATCGTAAGTATCTCTTACATATACCTGTATTATATCTATATCTTTTCCCAATAAATTAGGAGGTCAATCAGGTTTTACATGCTACACCAATTTTCATTATTCATATTTACAAAGTTTAAAGAAAAGCTAGTAAAATCCTGTTTTGTAATCTTGTTTTAAGTGTTCTTTTTGAAAATGAAAAAAGAAGATTTCTAGCACCTGGGTCACCCTACCTTTAAGTAGACGGCCTCTTAAATACTTTTTTGAAATTGTTCTTTAATCATAACTGCATATTTCTTTCTATACAACAGGTGCAGTCAATCGAAAACCATAGGTCACCCTGTCACTAGAGCCTACTCTTGTTTTCTAGCGTTCATTTTGATAAATATTTCTAACACCAGCGGGTTCACCCTATCTTCATGTAGACAGCCTCGTACAGGCTTTTTTTTTTGAAATAATTATTTTATCATAAAGGTATATATCTTTTTATACAACAGATGCGGTAATATGAACTTTGCCAGAAGAGACACCTGTAATCGCTGCCATGAATCAAGACCTGGTGATGCTGGAGGTGAGCTTTAACTTATTTTCTAGATAACTGGGCTGTTCTGTTCAAATATTAATGATGATAATAATAATAATAATAATAGTAATAATAATGGGACATTGACATGTTTTTTCTTTGCTCAGGTGGCAGCTCAGGTGGATATGGTGGAGGCCGAGGACGTGGTGGAGGTGGAAGAGGAGGTGGTGGACGTGGTGGAGGTGGATACGGTGGAGGACGAGGAGGAGGACGAGGTGGTGGTGGAGGACGAGGATTTGATAGGTGAGAAAAAATTATTAATGCACATGTTCAAACAAATGTGTGCTTCCAGTATTTGCAGAATAAAAAATTTAAAAACTTGATCATGGGTCAAGGGAGAGTGTACAGAGTTATCATTCTCTTCTGYGTGACTAACTGTCTGTGCGTCTTGCACATGACTTTAGCCACCACACATACCCCAACATGACCCTAGACCAACCGAGTTTTCATAGTCCAGCAGATGTTCACCCTGAACCTGTTGGTTCCACTAGCTCGAACAATATCCACGAAGTTGCACTTGTTTCCCAAGCCCCTTAACCTTTATAGATCTACCAGTGTCTTGTGGTACTGAGTGCATTTAATTTTCACCCCACCGTTTAGCAACAAGAATGTCAACTTCATACCACAAATGTAACAGGGAAAAAGGAAAAAACTTTTTTTCTTTCTCACTCCTATTCCCAGCGATAAGTAAGCATAGGCTATGAGCTCGGAACCACTTATTTTCTTACTGGGAAGAAGATGGGATTTCAAATCTGATGATTCAATGAAACTGGGATTTAGTTCACTGGGAATAAGCGCCTTTTGGAAAACAAAAAAAGAAGTTGGAAAAATCACCTGTCATGATTGATATGATTGTCTCATAGTTGTTATTGCTCCATCACCATTTAATTTATGCATAGGTTTGGTTATTAATCACTTTGCACATATTTTCCTCCCACATTTTTTCGTAGACAAGGGGCACGTCAAGACAGAAGAGATCGCCCTTACTAAAAACACAACAGCTACATCAAGAATCTGTGGTCAACCAGTAATGCCAATACAAGAGTAAACCTTAGAAGTGCCACTGCACACATGATTGTTCATCCAGTATACATACTATACTGGAGCTCATAATAACAGCCAACACCCATATCCTCTACCATCCAGTACCCCCTTGGTTCAGACATGTTTGGATGCCATGTTGTAAAATAGAAGCAAAGTCATAGCTTGCGTTTAATATTATACATTCTTTGTTTGAAATATATTTCGTGTTTACGATTTTTTCTCTAACTTTCTTGGCTTAATTTTAATCATTAGTACACTTAACACCATGTTTTATATTTTTTAGTTTGTTTTGTTTATTAACATCAAAGCAATAAAATTCGTTTAGTAACACCTAACCACTACATGACATTTGCTGTCACAGTGTAACCATCGATATCGATGCACTTTTTCAACACTTAAGTTTTCAGTTATATTTACTCATTAAAATGCACATCCAAGAAAGACCCCTTATTTGAAATGGTGCGTAACAAATCGTCCAACCAGTGACGACCCACAATTTCCAAATAGGAATTTCAATATTAGCCAATTTAAAGGTGTACCTAATTCAAAAATCGTTGTCAGCACCCATTCCGACTAAGGCCATGTTCTTGACGAGAATAAGAAGCAGAAACACAAGTCATTCCAGCTTTTCTTGGATCTTGGAATAAACTATCGCTTTTCGCCCATCTCCTGTAGCGCGATGACAACGTGTTTTGAATTAGTTGTTTATAAGTCGGCCGCTTTCTGTCAATGTATTGTGATTATATGCGATCTGGAAATTGTACTGCAAAATAAACACTCGGTAATACTTCCTTGTTCCAACCTTGCTTTTCTTGTGCCTTTACACCTTTAAGGCATGTTTATATCACCCACGCGGAAGTACACGTGAATTATTTTTGGCGGCTTCTTGCAAACTATCATGTGATTCGTCACTAGCTCACCTTTGATTGGCTGAGAATATTCAGCCAATCTATGAAAACATGCAAACTTTACACGATATAAATGCTAAACTTGGCACCCCGTCGCAGTGCACACCATGAGTTCTAGGAAAAAATATTACAAAACTTGCAGATGAATTTAAAACAAACGTAAAAGAAGCCATTCCTACAAGATAAAACAGAACTACGGCTGTATAAGGACGGAAAGGGTACGAGATGATATCAGATAACAAGAAAAACCCCTTACAAACTGTAGCAAGATAACGGTAAGCAGTCTACTTATAGTTTACAAAGTTTTTATGAATTGTTTTGGGACTGAGCTTGTATGGCTTTTACAACACCAAAAAAAATCTTAACTATTAGTTTTGGTTGAACTTGATGTCAGTGCGTATCCTTAGAACTTTGTGAAAAGCGAAAATTCATATGGGAAAATGCGAGCTGCTTTGCTTCTCAAGGTTAACGAGTGACTAAGCCCACTTGCAATTTATAATAAACGTTGCAGTAAAGTAAATACATAAGATAGACTCTATCTATGCCATTTAAACCAAGATATCTTGTCTTTCTTCTCAGATAAATTAAATTGCTTTTTAAATTTAATTCAACTGCTACGAAATAAAGTTATACCGAAAGTTCACATGTGCGAGACAGTTGAACTGATGAGTTTAGAACTTTCGAAGTCATTTGAACTTTTTTTATTTATAATACTAAGAATCCAGAATATTTCCAGATTTCCCCACAAAAAAATAATAGTCAAGAATATTGAAAATCTTTATGAATGTTTATATTTTCTTTTGAAAAACACCATCATGATTTGTACCGAGGAGCTACTGTTTATTTATTTTCGCGCGGCATGACAGTTTTGATTTTAATTTTTAATGTCGGGGATAATTTTACTTGCCAACTATGGAAAACATCTTTTTCGGGATTCGACTAACTCAAAAAAACAAAAAAAACAAAACAAAAAAACAGCTTAATAATTTAAAAAAAAAAAAAATTTATGATTTAATTTAACATTTTGCAAAACTGACTCGGCTACAGAATTTTGTAATGTTCGGACTGGCGAGATTATTCTTGGTTTTTCAAAATATTCTCAAGAAATTTTTGCCCACATTAATATTATTTGTACCAACCATAGTGTTGGTAAAGACTAGTTCACTGATGCAGTTTTTTTTTTGCATGGTTTCTTTTACTTTTTGTTGCTGTTGTTGACAAAGTTACTCAGAACTGCATGATCATGAAAAAGGCGCTGTAACTCATTTACTTGAAATGCTTCTTATTATTTTCCCTCGTTTTGTGACAAAGATTGTTTTTTCTAAAAAGTTTAGCAATTTAACCCAAAATAACTAATTAATAAAACTAAGGGTTTTCGTCTCCAGTTTTTAAAAAGCGACATTGCAAAAAAAACTGTCCAAACGAATAAAAAAGAATATCAAGCTTTTAATTTGGCAACACACAAAAATACTTTACTGAGCAGAAAGCCCGCGCTCAATAAGTTTAATTTTCATTAATTCCTGAAATCCCAGTTATTGTCTCGAAAACAACTCTCTCAAGACGTCCAAAAATAACTTCTATGCCTACTTTCATATGTCACTAGCATTTAAAATTAAGGATTATTAATAATTAAGTTATTGCATCAGACAACAAATTTATGTCAACTCTAAAAGAATAACCGCATAAGTACATAGAAAAAAATCTTAATCACTGAACCTGAATAACATTTTCAGCGTTTTGCAATACCTTTTTCTCCACGTATTACATTTTCAAAGCTCTCATTCTTCACTTTTAATAATGAAAACTGAATAACAGTCTAATAATTATAGTCTAGCCGCAGCTTCAATACACAGAAATCAGATTGGTGCGCTGGATTCAAATCCCCGCCCGAATATATTTTTTGAATTTTGTGAAATGTCATTAAAAAAGTCCTCGATAAAGTGCCACCAAGAGAGCATAAATAAGAGAGGGGAACTTCTTAATAACGTACACGTAATGGAAATTCCCGGTTGGGCTATTTTCAGTTACCGAATGCAGTTTAAGTTTCGCCTTACCCTACTTCCGTAAGTCATCAAATTGCACACGTGCGCTCTTATCCGTTTATTCCTTTGAACACTAAAAACAAAACGGAAAGCGCACGCGCGCGAAAGAACCATACACGTTTTGAACTTCGAGAGAGCAAAACCCTCAAATTTTGCACGGGACTCTATACTTTTTTGTTATTTTCCGGAATGACAGGTAAGATCCCATTATTTTTCAAAGTTAAATGCAATTCTGTTTATTAGAACAATGTAAAAAATCGTTCTGTTTGTTTTGTGCTCAATTTTTACGATAACTTACACACCGTAGAACCAGAGTTAAAACTCTGGTAGAACGTACCTGAACAAAAAAATTTTTTTCATTTTCTACAATAGTTTATTAAAACAACTTTTATCAGCATTTTATAAATATAGTGTAAGTTACGTGTTCGGAGAAAATTGCTCATGTTTCTTACTTAGTTTTTATAATATTTTTTGTACAGAGCGTGATTTTCGCTAATTTTCTTTCAACATTGTACAAACGCATGTCATTCAGTGATGATCTCAAAAACAAGCTCGGGACACCCCATTTTTCTTTGTATTTTTGAAATCAGCATTAAATTTCAGGTTAAAAGAGTTTCAATTTTCTGTTTATTATTTACCAAAGTAGTCAGCCATCTTAAGAAGTTTCCCTCTCTTATTTATGCTCTATTGATTGCACTAAAAGCAAGGAACGTGGGTAGGAATTATTGCTAAATCATGAAAAAAGTCGGCTTTGGATTTTTAAGGTTTTTGTTCAGGTTTTCGCAGTCAGAGAAAGTTTTAAAATTCTATTACCCAAGTTTAACTATAGTTACTTACTACCCACATTTGACTTCGTCGTAGCTCCAATATAAAATAGAAAAGAATGTATGACATTTTATAAGATAATCCAGGAAAAACTTGACTCGCACACGGTCGAATAATTCTAACGACAAGTCGTCTTTCTTTCCTCAAAGATCTGCGTAGTGAATTCACATTGTTGTTTTATCAATCATCCGGCACCATTCTTCGCGACAAAATATCACTTAGTTCGACCAGTATCGGTTTATCTCATTTTTTTTCAAGATTAAACATATTATATATATTCTTCACTGTAAACCAATTCGGTTTTCTAAAAAAATTGTTTTGTCTGATATATTGAAGTTTTGTTCTCACTAATTTTTTTGGGCTGTTATTAGATATATTTTCATCAAATCGCAGCAGTTGTTTATGTTCTTCTGAAAAGATAAATTCAATAAACTCTGTCAATGATAAATCATTTACCGTTTAGTTTAAATCCCGAAGTCGAACATCTAGATAATGATTTTGTAATTTTGTTCCAAAGCTGAAGAGCTGGAGCACTTAAAGACCAGCAATTTCATACCTTCCTCCAATCTGGGTTTTCTTATTCTAGTTAATCAAGATTATCTGGTATAAACATCTACCGAAAAAGATATATATGAGCAAGTTTAAAACGGATAATTGACCTTCTGTGCACTATCAGACTCATTCAGTTCATTAGTTTTAAAAGATAAAAAGAAATCCTTCAAAGACACAGGATTTATTTTTTTCACTGTGGTTTTCTGTAAGCTAGGAAGGAACGTTACTGCACTTTAGTGCGGTCGTGAGGAATTTAGCTCTATATTTTTCTGAACCTTATAAAAAAGGTAGCAGGGATTTGAAGCCATAACTCACTTGAACACGATATGGAAGATGACGTTTTTCCACCTGGAAAGTATAGATCAAGTCTAGATGGAAAGGCCAGCAACCTTACGAATTGAAAAGGTTTGTTTTCCTTTCTTTTTTTGTTCGTTATTGTTTTGTTTTGTTTCACGTTGGTGAAACACAATAAATTTCAAGATTTACATCGGCCTTTTTTCATAACTGAAAAATATCGCATTGTGTCTTGAAAAACAATTATGTTTGTGATACTAGATTGACCTGAGGTGCTAGGTAATTTGAAGTTTAATTTTCGGTTTCGAACAGGTTTCTTCATGAACTCTTTCAATATAACTTATATCATCAGTTACAAGTTTTAATTWAAAAAATGGGCGTTGTGATTTCTCCTTCTTTCTCTCTCTCTCCAGATATTATAATAAAATATACTAAAAAAAAGGGTCGGGATACTGACCAAATTTCAAAATATATAGGCCAGGCATATGCAATGACATACCAAATTTCTCGAGGTATGTGTGTAAACATGACCCCTTTTTTTTGATAAAATCGAAAGTCATTTTCTTGTTGTGATTATATTTACCAGTGCCGAAAACTTTCATAAAAGTGCGAAGCAAACCATATCTATTTTATTTCTAAAATGACGACAACATTCTCGTGTCCTGATTGGACGATGTGTATTTTTCTCGCTATTTGATTGGCTGACACCGGAAGCCATTTAAGGATAAATACGCAAGGCTATGACTGGCCAGAAAACATCATCCGGGTATTTAGGCCTCTGTCCTTTTATTTCCTAGGCTTAAACAAGACAAATAACAAATAGTTCATTTCTTCCTTTTGCATGGTATAGATATTGCCGTCACTATCTAGAATCTTCTGCTTAGAGGTATGAATTTATAATGTTAGTTCAAAGCGAGGAGTCCCTAGTAACGGAATTACTTTATCGCTCGTAGAGGTTGGCTTGCTCTTACCGTATGATAGGACCATTGAGCATTGCGATAGAGGTCCTAAAGGGTCGGCTCGACGGAGGGTTCTTTAAACAACTTTATTGGGAATACCACTTATTTACACGATGAAGAAAATACAATAACAAATGTGAAATACAATGACATTAACAAATAGAGTGACGTGAAATTAAGACTGGAATAATTAAAGTAGCAACCCACCAGGGTGGGGCGCGAACGGGACGTGCGGAGTAACCATGCGAGACACTCCCCAAGGGGTTTAGAACTATATAAGAAAAATAACATACAATACTAAATATTTAAGTTATGCTGCTGTTTCTGTTCTGGTTATCATGTTGCTGGCTGTCTCTGCCCCTGCTGCTCAGTGCTTCTTCTGTTGTTCTTGCTCAAAGTCGTTTTTTTGTTGCCTATAATTAACCTGAGAATGACACTATTAGACAAGGAAACTCCTACATGCATATCTCTGGCATAAACAATGCCTAGGAAAAAAGGTAAAATTTATTTGACAAGAGGATTAATGATAAATTTGCAATTGATATGGAGGTTAAGGAAGTTAACGCTAAATCTATATGCTGAACGTAAGGAAACTGGGGAAGC